ATGTACGGTGTAAATGAGATTTGGGAGGGAAGTAGGAAATGCCTATGCCTACATACCCTGTCGGAAATGGAACTACTTTAAAAGCAACTTAGAAAGTACTTTTTTACGAACTACAAGTGGTTGGATTTATACTCTTTTTCCAGAGACGGAAAATAATCATTATTTTTTATATTTTAACCAAAAAACACAACAAGTTGTAATCGACGTAAAACAATTTTAACTATACTCATACTCGTCGGCTGCTTTAGTGTAGTGGTACGTAGTGCGCGCTTCCACTCCGCAGCGCCTGGGTTCAAGCCCTGGTCAAAGCAACATCGTAAAAAAATATAGAAAAAAGCTTTTTTCTTAACAGCGGTCGTCCCTCGGCAGGCAATGGAAAATCTCCGAGGGTATTTCTGCCATGAAAAACAGCTTCTCATAAAAATACAATCGCCGTTCGGAGTCGGCGTAACACAGACGCACGCCACAAATCGGAGTAGAAGCTCTGCCAAACACTAACATATGTGTAAGCGCCAATCTATAACTATTTATTTTTATTCGTACGTCCAACTGTAATTTACAATGATTTTTATTTTTCGAGTTTAGCCAATAAAGATTAAAAATAATAATTAATATTTGAGTTTTATTTTTCCGCTCAAAGGAAATTATTATCAGCTGATTTCTATTTTCTCGATCAAAATTAATGATTATTTTATGATTTTTATTTTTTTCGCTCAAAGGTAATAAGTATTACTGAGTTTAGTTTTTCCACTTAAAAATAATGATCATTCAAAAAACTCAAAAGCTACATCAGCGTGATTTTCGGCGTATTCTTTTCAGAGGTAGCGACACGCTAATAAAAGAAATAAGTACCAATATTTTCAGGTCAAAATTTCAGTTGCTTGCGTCTGTAGGGCCGTTTGAATTTTATAAATAATCATTATATTTAAGTGGAAAAATAAAACTCAATTATAATTATTATCTCCGAGCGAAAAAAAATAAACATAAAAAAATAATCACTATTTGTGATCGAAAAAATATAAATCAAATAATAATTATTTCCGTTGAGCGAAAAAATTAAACTCAGTAATAATGATTATTGTTGAGCGAAAAAAATTCAAATCATAAAATAATGATTAAAGGCTGATTTAAATTATTTTACTCATAATGATTACCGTCGCTGCTTTTTTCATATAATCACTTAACTTCATTAACATGGCCCTGTCCTAGGAGACAATCAATTATCTGACTCTACATTTTATTTAAACTAATTTAAAATGCATTTGGTTTAAAGAACTTTGAAGTCAGCATGGTTCTTTTAAATATGCTTTCGTTCTGCACTTCACACATGTTTTTTCGTACTTCTAAGACACAAATTATTTCTTTGGGTAAAAAGAATTTCACAATTTGAAACATTTACTCACTGCATTTGTTTCAACGTAGTTTTTCGATTGTTGATTTAAAAAAAAAATCACTTGTTTCTCGGTCTGATCAAAAAAGGAGAAAGAATCGGAGTCAATCGCTGATAGGCATTTGTATTCGCAAGAGAGCCAAAAATAAAAGTTTTCGGGCAAGGGGTGTAAAAAAACTTCCAATTGAAGTGATTTTTAAATATTTTGGTCTGCATAGATTAGCTTTCATGGAAACTATAAGCGATATCAAATTCATTATGTATGTATGTATATCGAACTTGCGTAAATAAATGTAGCTGTAAAGTCTCAAAAATATCCCGAAATCTGGACAAAACCAAAGAATAACAATGAATGTCAACCAAGTTATGGTATCAATAAATAACGCAAATAAACATCATTTTCTCAGACATGCGTACATGAAATATATACATTAAAGTTTCTAAAATTAGCCAGAGTCACAGCCACAATGGTCTGCTACCTACCACAGCGATGAGTTTGTGTGCAATATGTATGTAGGCGATCGGCTACAAAAAGCGATCGAAGAGGAAGTGTACAAATTTGCTGAAATGAAAATATCACTGGTATTTATTTAAAGTGAATATACGGGTAAATCCATGTCAAATCGACCAATTGTTGGTATCGGCCATTTTTGATTTACATAGATGAGTTTCGGTCAGAACTTTTCTTTTATCATACAATGAAGTTTAAAGTTTCCGGTATTTTACAAGTTTATTTTTTGTAGTTCGAAAAATAATAAAATTTAGAGAAATTCAAAATTAGAAAAATCGTAAAAGCCCAACTTATAAACATTGTTGACAAAATTTTTTTTATAAAATACCTCACACTGATTGTAAAATATCTTGAAATTTGCATTGTTTTTTAAGATATGAATTTTTTAACTTTGCAAATTTTTTTACAATCTCTAAACAAAGTTACGTTAAACAATTTTTATTTAATGTAAATTTATTGTTCATTTAGAGCTTACCCTAATTTTTTTAGAGTTCAATAATTCATACTTTAAAAAAAAATTTGCCAAACTTTTAAATCAGTTTTTGCTTTTACGCTTATTTTAATTTCGAAGTTTTGTAATTTTTATATACATATCCTCTCGTGGCGTTCAATACCGCGTATACGCAAAGTGCATTACCATTTTTGACATGGCGTCTAAAGGTTTTTGTCGATAAAAACTAAAATTATCATAAGCCAATTTAGAAGGCGATATTTGATGAAAAACTGCCTAACAAGCTCTGTTTACACATACATATGTACATAGCATAGTATGTAAGTATGTGTATATGTATATTCCAAGCGCTACTATATTATCTTTGCCACTGTGTCACTAGCTCGTTTCAAGACTAGGTTCAACAAAAAAAAAAACAAAGCTAATTTTAAAGCATAGGTAAGCCCGCTAATGAATAAACGATTTGCATACGAATAAAAATTGAATATAAAACGCAAGATAATTAACTGCGGTGTTTGTGTAGTTGAGCTTAATTTATTAATGATAGTCAAAGTATATTTTTTCTATTTCTTTTAATTGTTATTTCGCCCGATTTTACTGAATTAAACGGCATTTTATTTGATTGGATTGAAGTAGATATTTATTTTGACAAATTCAGTGGCATCGAAAATCGAACATCTCCGGAAATATTTGGGGCTCAATTTTATATGTTAATTGTTTCAATAACACTGCGACAATTTTATCTTGTTTTTAAATTGGAGGCTCGACCAAACACTAACATATTTGTAAGCGCCGATCTATTATTATATTATTATTTTGCATATCCAGTAATAAAACACTCGATGGATTTGCAAAAGTTGGCTCGTATTTTGATTTTATGGCCAACAAAAATTTTCATGTCCCCGCCTTAGTAATTTTCAAAGAAATGGAAAAAATGGGTAAAATAAATATCTGAGCGAAATTAAAGGTTAAGACATATATAGTAAAATTTCAGGGGAAGTATTTTCGTAGAACATTTTAACCCATTAGCTGCCACCCGAGCGGGTCGTATTAACCCTTACTTTAAGAAACCCCACTAACCCCACATTTGGAAGATTGTTAGAGGGTTCATATATTCTAGAAAAATATTCTTCGGAAAATTTTACTAAGGGTCTTCTCAGGCAAACACTTCTATGCCAAGGTGGAATAACAGCCAAACTCAATTTTAAATTTTTTGTAAATAAACCGGAAGAATATCTTTCTAGAATATATCAGTCCTCTAACGACCTTCCGAATTTGCTTTTTGCGGGGTTTTTTGAGGAAGGGTCAAAATGACCGGGATTATTTGCCAGGAATCCCGGTATTAACATTATTAGTGCATACATATTAAACATTAGGGTGCATCACTCCCCATACAAAAAAAATATAAATTACGACTTTTGTCATAGGAATTGTAAAATTGTATTATATATTAAGGCTTCTGCCAAAATATTTCGGAAAAATATTTAGATTTACCGATTAAAAAATACCTCCAAAACTCAAGTTTTTTTTATAAACAAAATTAGTTTCTAAAATTATTTTTACCAAACAATCACCTTAGATGATAGAAGAGTTTAAGCTTAAAATGTTCTGCATGGAAATGTTTCAAAAATTTTAAGAACGGAATCAAAATAATGAGCTTCTGGAGGTATTTTCAATTCGTGTCCAGCTAACGTACATACATTAATCTCGAATTTTTTGTCCCAAATATTTTTGCGGAAGTCTTAAACTATAATAAATTTTATAATTCCGGTGCAAAAACCGCAACTTTTTTTGGCGGGGCACCCGAATGTACATACGTGCTAAATGTACTTGCATCACTAATTTTTTCTTGCATCGACCTTTAAAAAGCATTAAAACCAAACAAAGAACTGTTCTTTTTTATTTTTTTGTGGGTCAATCGTGATCACCCCTACCCGTCAACAATATTTTCTCACACCTTCCTAACTAACATAATTAGCGTCAAAATGGCGCAAGTGCCACATCTGTTCAAATGGCAATGGTATGCGCTTCGTACTTAGACCTTTGAAAGTAAATAAAAAAGACTATCGCAACTTAATTTCGAATAGACCATCTGTTAGGTTAAGGCAAAAATACCAATTATCCGTTCTAGAAAACCTTAAAAACACCTCCATCGATATTACAACATGTGCTCGTACATATACATACATTATTGCATGTATGCAAGCAGAACTTCGGGACTCACATGCTAAGCTCTATTAAGAATTCTGTGGCGTCAACAATTTTTGGCTAAATTATTTATTGGCAACAAAACGTTCAAATGATTTGATGTTCTTTTTTGGCTGAACTTTTTTTGTCAACAAGGCGGGGTCTGACGTTTTGATGATGGCTTGGTCTGGTGATTTGTTAATGGGGTGATCGTGGCGTTTCTTAAACGCTAAATTGTAAACCTAAAAAATGCATTTACGTTCATTGAAAATTATGTGACACTTTCTGGATACATACATATATGTATGTATGTATGTATGTAAACTTTATGTATGTAAACTTTATGACTATGAGTAAATAAAATCATTAAAAATAGCCGCTGTGCTACTAAACTAAGCCCATTTTCCCCGAAAAAATATGATACATAAAAATAAAGCAATATTTTCTTGCTCTCTTTGCAGCCGTTGCCGCAAACGTGTTATCTTTGCAGACGATGAGGGTCAACCGTTGACGGAAGTCCGCGTCATGTCAGAACCCTCGAATGTACCGCCTTTGTGGAGCACGAAATTCTTGGAGCAAATCACACAGGGTTTAGTTAGTCCACATCCCGCCGATCAGTGGACCGTTGACNTGAATATTTTCTTAGTCTTAACTTAGCGGACGTTAACTAATTAAACTCTTTGAAAAATTTCTTCTACAGGCCTACGGACCAGCAACCTTTGCTCATGTTGTATTCGATACATTCTCCTTCAAAATCACATTGCCGCCATCCTCAAAACGCTTGGAATTCTGCATTTGTTATCGTGCCAACGATCAAGAATACTGGGACAATAATGGGGTAAGACTTGCTTTACCTATAAACGCTTAGTGATTTATTAACCAACTCTATCTTCTTCTCCGCCGCAGGCCAAGAACTATACTATAACGAAGCGTTCGC